TCATCATCAGCATCATCAGCATCAACAGCATCATCATCAGCATCATCAGCATCATCGTCAGCATCAGCATCAGCATCATCATCAGCAGCATCATCGTTAGCAGCATCATCGTCATCATCACTATCAGCATCATCGCCAGCATCATATCATCACCATCATCATCATCATCAGCATCATCATCATCGTCATCATCAGCATCAACAGAATCAGCATGAGAAGCATCAGCATGATGATCATATCATCAGCAGCATCATCAGCAGCGGCATCATCATCATCAGCAGCATCAGCATCAGCATAGTTAAGCATCAGTCGCATCATCATCATCATCAGCATCATCCTCATCACCATCATCATCATCATCATCACCATCATCATCATCATCATCAGCATCATCATCATCATCAGCGTCACCATCATCATCAGCATCGTCAGCATCATCATCCTCATCATCATCACCATCAGCAGCAGCATCAGCATCATCATCAGCAGCAGCATCGACATCATCATCAGCAGCGTCAGCATCAGTATCATCATCATAGTCGCCATCATCATCAGCAACATCAGCATCTTCATCAGCATACTCATGATGATCATCATGAGCACCAACAGCATCATCATCATCATCAAAATGATGATCAGCATCCTAATCATCATCATCCTCATCATCAGCATCGTTATCATCATCGTCATCATCAGCAGCAGCACCATCAAAATCATGATCAGAGTCAGCATCAGCATCATCATCATCATCATCATCATCATCATCATCATAAGCACCATCATCACCACCACCACCATCATCATGATCATCACCATCATCATCATTATCACCATCAGCCACGTTATCATCAGCATCAGGATCCTCATTATCATCATAAGCATCATCATCGTCATCATCAGCATCATCATCCTCATCACCATCATCATCATGACCACTATTAGTACCATCATCGTCATCACCACCATCATCATCAGCAGAATCATCAGCACCATCCTCATCATTATCATCATCAGCAGCCGCATCCTCATCATCCTCATCATCATCCTCCTGCTCCTCCTCAGCATACGAACCCTCATCCTAAACGCGACCCTCCTCCTCATCATCAGAAACATCAGCATCATCAGCAGCATCAGCATCAGCATCAGCAACATCATCACAACGACCCCCACAACCACCAGCACCATCATTATAATCAGCATCATCATGAGCATTATCATCACCACCATTCATCATCAAGATATGTGCATGTTCCGCGGAATCAGATTGAATCTCATATGCATAGTCATAGTGACCGCCGTCGTCATCGCCATCATCAGCAACATCCTCAAACAAAAAAGGACAAACCACAGCGGTGCCGACGACCCGGAAGGAGAAGGGAGAGGGGGGGGGACGCAGCCAAAGCCAAAGCAAAGCAGGATCCCGGAAATAGGACGGCCGAAGACCCCGCGACACGGCCGGCCCGCGACCGACCGACCGACGGCGAGGACCGAGCGACCCCCGCGACCCCAAGGGGAGGGGACCGACGAACCACCGTGGAGGAAAGCTGCCGGCAGAGCAAGCTGACATACAACTGGAGGCCCAGGAGGGGCAGCGAACTGCAGCCCCAGCTGCGGACGCGCACACCCAAGTGCGACACCAGCATGCAGAAAATCAAAAGGCCGCGGCCATGCCGGCCCGCACCCCATGTCAAGGCGCAAGCAGCTAGGCGCTAAGGCCGCAGCCAGTCCAGCTGACAGACAGAAATAAGCGCCGACCACGAAAGGTGACACGTGGAAATTGCCACGCGCACCCGAGCGGGGCGCAAGAAAACCAGTGCCTCGGGCAACACATGGGCGCAGGCAAAGCAGCACCCGACCGATAACCAGAATACCCCGGAGGTACAATCCATTCAGGCGGCCAAAACGTCCTCCCGCCAAAGGCGGTAAGTATAGCAGCTGGCCAAAAGAAAAGCAGCAAGGCGCAGCACGAGGCTGAAGCGAGCAACTCCACGGCGAGACCTGGGAAGCACCCAAAAACGAGAAGCGGGCCGCGGCCAAGCCGACCCATACCCCAGCCGGGGCGCAGGCAGCGAGGCGATAAGGCCAACGCCAAGTCCAGAGTACAGGCATAAAGACGACACAGGGTGACACGAGGAGGTTACCTCGCGCAGCCGGGTGGAGCGCAAGAAACTACTAGCCAGGACAAAAACATGGGCGGTGTAGGCAAGGCGAAACACGGCCGAGTACCAAAAAGACCTCCGCCGAGGTACAGGCCAGCAAGGCGGCCACAAAGTCCTCATCGCCTCACGCGACACACGCACACACATACATCATACATCACGCACACACATAAACACACAGGTGTTGGCGATCGCGGCCTCGCGCGCGGCGAGGAAGCGGAGCGATATCACACACACACACACACACACACACACACACACGTGCGTGTTCCTCCAGCGGCGAAGTGTCGACACCGTCGGGCAGCGCTGAGCCAGACACGTTTCGGCGAATCTCCACATGGCGTAGCACACACAAACACATTTGTCCTCCACCGCCCCAAAGACAACGACGACGACGACGACGACGACAACGACGGCCGCGGCGACGGCGACGGCGACGACGACGGCGACGGCGACAGCGACGGCGACGGCGACGAAGAGCGACGAGCGACGGCGACGAACGATGACGGGGACAGCGAAAACGGCGGCGACGGCGACGGCGACGGCGACGGCGACGCCGCCGACGACGACGAAAAGGACAGAGGGGCAGCAAGAGGAGGAAGAGGAGGACCAGAGTGCAAACCCAATACGCATCAACGGCACTGCACGAAACCCTCCCTCAAAGTTCCCTTTTTCATGGGTCCCAACAGTACTTGTTTGGGAGGGGGAGCGGGGTAGATTAGGGGATATCAGAAAATGGAGCATGTTCCCTCGCTACCCGCGAAAGGGGGGGATGGCCCCCGTGGGCCTCCACAGTTGACCGCGCCAAAAAGCGTCCCCCTGGGAACGGCCCCCCCCCCCAAAAAAAACGCAGGGAAGCCCGCAGGGAAACCCGTTCCCAAGTCGGTTCCAGGGAGGGGCCGCCCCCCCCCCTCCCCAGATCCCCGAACGCAAGCCTCGCCGAATGAGACGAGGAGAAGGAGGAGGAGGAGGAGGAGGAGGAGGAGGACCAGTGTAAACCAAAGGGCCATCAACGATGTTCAAAGACGTTAAAAGAAACCACCCCTATAAGCCTAGATTCTAAGCTCAATATGTATAGGCCCCTATAACGGTTCATTCCCACAGAGGGAACTGCCCCGTTGGACGACAACCTTTTGAAGACACTGAAGCATGCCAAAACATTGTTCTCGGATTCCAACGCCACGGATCAACCTGATCACTGCGTCTTGACGATCCAAAATCACGCCAGGACGCCATTCTTGATACTCGAACGCCGCGTACCAAAGTAATTGCTGCACCCTCGTAATCCGGAGTTCCTCCAAAAACTCAATTTGTAGTACGCTGATAGCGAATCCCACGAAACTCGTGCAAAGTGTAAATACGAATGCGCGCGGCGCTAAAGCGAGAGCCAGGAGGATAGGGAGGGGGAGGAGGAGGACAGGGAGGAGGATAGGGAGGAGGAGCAGGAGGCGGAGAAAGAGGAGCAAGATAATGAGGATAGGGAGGAGGAGGAGGAAGAGGAGGAGGATGATAGGGAGGAAGAAGAGGAAAACGAGGACGAGGACGAGGAGGAGAAGGAGGCGGAGAGGGAGGAGGAGGAGGAGGATGAGGGGGTTACGGAGGATAGGGAAGAGGGTAGGGAGGGGGAGGAAGAAGAGGAGGATAGGGATACTTAGACTTAGACAACCCTTGGCGGCAGAAAACGATGGTCTGCTCTCCGTTGGCATCGCTGGGCGGCATTCCGAGATTCGGGCTGCGACAATTGCCCCCACTGGCGCCGGCGGGAAGCACGCGGGCCCCCCTGCAACCCAAAAGGTACGAGGACAGGGCGCGGGGGCGGCAGCCCACGCAGACCTACGCACGAGGGGGGCGGGACTTCCCTCTTCCCTCCCCGCGACCTTTTTATGGGCGCGGCCGAACTCTGGCCACGGGGGCGCTTCGTCCTTGGGAGTCCGAGGGGGAGAAGCTCGAAAGGAGAGGACGGGTGAGGGAAGAGAAATCGCCCCCATGCTGACTACCCCTTGCGCCATTAACTGCCCGAGCCTGTCGCTGGCCAGCAGCCGCTGCATTCGCTTCCCACCGACTTCGTCGAGCTGGCCTCGAGCTCTTCAAGAACGCCCTGGCGCCCCTCTCCAAGACCCCCCTGGGCGCCGCCCCGATCGTGACCCCCCCGCCGCGACGGGCGATCTCCGCGCGCAGGATGAGATTGAGTTCCGCTGCCGTCCGCGCGGTCGCGAGCGCCCACTGGAGCCTGACCTTGCCCCCCATCCTCTTGGATCGCTTCTCGAGCCCCCCCCCCCTTGTGGGGCTCGCACACGGAAGTACTTGATGTCCAGGTCCATGTCTTTGACGTCGTGCTTCGTCACGCGTTCCTTCCGATACCGCGAGCGGGCGCCCCTGGCCGGGCCGCCCTCGGCGCCCGCGAGAAACGCCCGCGCGAAATCCTTCCGCGCGCGGTGGCGCGGCGAACCCAACTGCGCCGCGTCGATGCACGCGTCTTCCTGTGGGCGCCCCTCAACTGCATCGCCTCTTCGCGGTAATCCCTGACCGACTGAGTCGCCGCCTCGACGCGCGGCAGGTCGACTGGGGCGAGCGCCGCGACGAACGCCACGCTGATCGCCGTGCGGAGATCCCCTGCTAGCGACAGCGCCGGCTTGCCCAGGATGGTCACCAGCTGTTGCGCGATCCGTTCATTGCTGGCCCCCTTGGCGGCCTGCTTCGCGTCTGCGAGAACCTCCTCGCCCAGTCGGCACTTCGCGGCGGCGCGCGCCCCCCCCCCTGCTGCGGAGCCTTGATCGGCCCCTCTCCTGTTGGACTTCTTGAGCCCCCAGCCCACGTCGCCCCCCATGCCCGCGTCGGACATCCGCCGAGGCGCGCCGCCTGAACTTGCCGCCGCCATAGAGAATGTTCTATCCCACGGCGGCCAGGGCCCTCTGATCACGAAGATATGGAAGGCGTCGGACCAGGCGTTCTCTGAGCTCGAGCCAACAGCCTGCAACGCAAGCACCACCAGGGTGCTCAAGAGACTTTGGGCCCTCCACGCGCCCGAGCCACGTCGACGGCGCAGCAAGCCCGCTGACTCGATCTGACCAGGCGCCGACGAGCTGCGGCCACCGACGCGAACACCGTCTCGCACAAGATACACTGGTTGGTCGGGGTATACAGCGAACACACGTTGAAAATGTGCTGAACGCGCAGAACGCGCGTGCGAAGAGCTCGTTTACCGCGGAATACTCGCCCACGCCTGACCCCCCCCCCCCACACCACCACCACCACCACCCCACACCTCCACCTCGCACTTGCAGGCGTTCTCTACCTCCTGGACGTCCCCCTCCCCCAGGGCCTCCAAGGGCTCAAGGGGCTTGCAGGGGGGGGGGCGCCGCGTTGATTTTGAACTCCCTGGCTCTGAGAATACTGACGTCGATGTTCGTGAGTTCGGCCCTATAGATCGGGTTTCCCAGCCAGGCCACGATGCGCGGACCCGCCCCCTCAGGAACAGACTGCGCCTCCTTCGAGTGCTCTATCAGAAAGTCCAGGTCGAGCCGAGCGCGCGCGGCCCACGGGTCGCCGCAAGAATTCAAACTGTCGCCGCCTGCAACTGCCCTCTGCGGCTGCGCGCTGATCGCGGCGAAGGGAGAAACAGAGAGCTGCTCGCGATTGCCCCGATCCTGCGCCGCCCGCTGGAGCCGCCTCAGCCGTCGAACTTGCAGTTCAGCACTGCTGTGAGCGATGCGCCAATGAGCTAATACTTCCCGGTTGGTTAGTGATTTGACCGATCCGTCTTAATTCCGAGCGCACGCCCTGCCGCGCATGGCGACCCTGGCCAGGGAGGCAAACGCGTTGACAAGAGCCTCATATTGCCGTTGAATCCGCATGAATGCCCCCGCTGCTGACAGCGCCGCATTCACCACCCGCCCGAAAAGAACTGCACGTCGCCACCCCCCTGGAATACGCGCTGCACCCCAGAAAGAAACCATTGAGAAGAATGCCGCCTGCGCCGCCTGGACCCCCCCCCCAGCTCAATGCCACGACCCTGCGCGCCGGCGACTGCGCGCCCCCAGTACCTCGCCTGATCCACCAGCTGTCCTGCTTACAAACCCCGTTGTTCACGCTGCCGCCACTGCCGCCGCGCAATTGCACTGCCTGCGCCATGGGTCGCGATGAGGTCGATATGCCCCTGCTTCCTCGGGACCAGCCCAATCTTCTGTAGTTGCGCATCCACCGGCGCGTCGCAATTGCGAAGCTTGCGTCGGAGCTCATCAATGTTGACCAACTCCAGCGACGCCGGCGGGCGTTGGAGAACCTTCTCGTCGATGTCGCCCGCGCAGAGGCGCAGACTGAGGTCAACGCCCAATCGCGAGATGGAGCACATCACCACCAACCGATTGCCAGCATCATCTCGCTCTCGCCATCGCCGCGCCCACGGCTCGGCGGCGCGCGCGCAGGCGCGAAGGGGGCAGCGCACCATGAACGGATCCCCCATGAGGCCTCCCTCTGTCGGTCGGAAGTGGAACGCGCCTTCTGCCGCTGGTAGATGGACCCGCGCACGTCGCATGCGTTGCAGCGCCAGTCGGAGGCCCTGTGATCGCATCAAGTCGCGAGCCCCCTGTTCCAATCTAGGTCCAGCCAACTGGCGGGAATGCGTTGGTCATGTCCTTGAAGCTGTCGACGTAGCTGCATGGTGTGCGTCGTAGTCGGCGCGCCACTGCCATGGAGGCATGGATGGCCGTCTCGCGTCGTCGGCCTTGCGCGTAGCCGCGGCGCTCTGGTGGCAGTGGTTCTGGGCGTCGTGCTGAGATGCAATACCAGCGGCGAAGAACCCCTTTGCCCAGCACTCGTAGGATGTGGAGTAGACGTCGCCCCTTCGGCCCATGACCCTCATTCTTCCAGGCAGGGTAGCATTCGCTGCTGTGCCAGCTGGTCGGCGCAAGTTGGCTGTAGCGGAAGTTGAAAGGAGTGTAAGCAAACTCCAATGTAGCTGTAGTCCGTGCCCTCGGCGTCGTGCCCGACGCCCAGGCGGCGCGGGTCGCGCCGTGGGTTTAGCGCCATCCAGTAAAGCTCAGCAGGCGGTGAATGCGCTGAACAGGCCCTCCGTTCGAGCGCGCGTCGCAAGTACCATCGCATGCGCTCGATGTCGCGCTGACTCCCCATGTGAGCTCCCAGGGCGCGGTCGCCGTTGAACTGTAGCAGATCGTCCTCCTCCGTGAAGTGCCCCCATGGATCTGGCATTCGCGGTAGTTCATCTGGTAGTCCTTCACATTCGAGCTCTGGCCCTGCCGCTGGTGGGCGGCACGCAATCTCCACTGCGCTCGCGCCTCCATGGCGCCGCGGCTTCTCGAGCATCTCCACCCAGTCCGCCTTCGTAAGATGCGCCAAGGGTAATGCTCGAAGGTCTCGCCGCTTGGCCCCAGTTCGTGAGTTGCCTAGTCGCACAGTCGGCCTGTGCGAAAAAAAAAAAAAAAAAAAAAAAAAAAAAAAAAACGTTGCCCCAGTGTTCCTAGATCTCGATATCGAAGCAATGCCCCTGGTCTGCCCCGTAGCCCAAGCCCGCGCTCTCCCACGCTGCTCGGCGACAGCGCGCACTTGTAGCTCCACCTACTGTGCCGCGCAATACGTGGCCCAGGTCGCCTCCCGTAAATCTCGACTCTGGCGCAGTAGCGCCAGCCTCGCCTGCCGCAAGTGTCGGCACCTGTCGTCGACGCGATTTGGCTGCACAAACTATTGCTGACCAGTCTTCGCCATGCGTTCCTCCGAAAAGCTGAAGATGGCGTCGGGCGCGTGCTGCAAGCCAAGGGGCTTCCAATGTCGCCATCGTGTCTCGTAAGTGTAGGTTGAGAGCGGCGAGGTAGTCGTGCTTTCGGTTACCCCGTCGCAGCGCAGACATCATGGCATCAGAATGCCCAACGTTCACGCTTGAGTTGGTCGGTGCCCTCGTCTTCCGCCGCCATAGCCAGCTTGTCATACCATAAATGTGCGTGGGCATGTACATGATCACGTAAGATTCGATATGGGATTGCCCGTACGCGTCGGCCCAATCGATACAGCGGAGTAGATCTTATGAGCGCGTCCCTCCAAACCACAGGTCCAACAACGTAGTCCAGTCTGGAAGTCTCCCCGTCGTTACCAAACCATGTAGGTAGCTGGTTGTCGTTGTAAACCGCTATGTGGTGTCGCACTAGAACTGGGCGTACCTTGGAACCTGCTCCTTGTGGAAATTCTGGTGTCGCATTCACCTCCGACACGGCCCCGCTGCCCGTGTATGTGTCCTGGATCTCCCCGATACCGCTATTAAAATCCAGGGGAATGGGCAGCGAGGAATGCGGGGTGTGTGTCAGACCCTGCTCCAACAATTGTCATTGTGCTGCTGGTATCGCGTTCGTGCGCTCCCGCCTTAGCGTTGCGCCGGTGTGGTGGGTAATGCATCGTGATCGCCGTAATGTCCATCATGCAAGTTTTGCACCGTGCCGCCAATACTCGCCCTTGTAGTGGTCCGGGAGTCGGGAACACATGTCTCAACTGGTCTTTCTTCACACGCCGTCCCCACAAGATCCTGCAACCAGTCGATTTGTCAGCGAAAATTCCACTGCCACAGCCTGAATCAATGACCGGTCGTCCACGTCCGTCATGCTGGAGTCCGTGTGAATGGCCAGGGGCAGCTCTGGTCTGCGTGCCGGCTAGCCCGAAAGCGTCGAAGTTGCCTATCTCGTCGGCAGCGTCCTCGGCCCTGCCCCTGACCGCCGACGGAGGGTTGAAGACACCTAAGAGCAGCGAGAGCGCCCGCAGGGGCCTGCCAGCAAGACCACTCGGCACGGCAGTGGCAGCCTGCATGGCCCGCGCCGCGGCGCTGAGCCTGGCGCGGTGGGAGGGTGACGGCCCCCTCGCGGCCCCGCCTCCTGTTCTTGGGGGGGCTCGAGATTAGGGAGGAGGAGGAAAAGGAGGAGGCGGAGGAAGAGGGTATAGAGGACGAGGAGGAAGAGGAGGAGGAGGAGGAGGAGGAGGAGGAGGAGGAGGAGGGAGGAGGGAGGAGGGAGGAGGGAGGAAGGCGGAGGAGGGCGGCGGAGGAGGGCGGCGGAGGAGGAAGAGGAGGAGGAGGAGGAGGAGGAGGAGGAGGAGGAGGGAGGAGGGAGGAGGGAGGAGGGAGGAAGGCGGAGGAGGGCGGCGGAGGAGGGCGGCGGAGGAGGAAGAGGAGGAGGAGGAGGAGGAGGAGGAGGAGGAGGGGACCGCCCGCCCAGGATTGGGCTCCTCGCCGTCGCCCTGCAGGTAGCGCCGCGTGGAGGGCAGCGGCTTGCGGCCACCGTTCGCTACTTGGGAGGCGCGAGGGGCCCCGGCCGAGCGTCAGGGGCCGACCGAGGACGCAGGGAAAGCCAGGCATCGGCCAAAGAAGCTCGGGTTATCGGCCAGAGACGAGGATCAAATTGAGCGAGGATAGAACGAGAATCTCTTAGATCTGGCGGCTCTGGAGGATGTCTCGGGCGCCGCGGCCTTCTCAGAGCGCGCTGGAACGCTCTGAGAGCGTTCTGGAATGCTCTGGAACGGATCGACCCTCGTCCCAACCCCGCCCGGAACATCCCTGTGCCAGTACGGCGGGTCCATGTCGTGTCGACCCCGGCGTTGCTTCTTGACACTGCGGGGATCGTTCAACCTGGCACGACTGGTCGTTTCCGAAACGTCAGATCGCATTCGCCGCGTATTCCTGGTCGGAGCACACCCACGGAGGGGAGGAGGAGGAGGAGGAGGAGGAGGAGGAGGAGGAGGAGGAGGAGGAGGAGGAGGAGGAGGGAGAGGAGGAGGAGGGAGAAGGGAGAAGGAGGAGGAGAGGGGAGGGAGGAGGGAGGAAGGAGAAGGGAGGAGGGAGGAGGATAGGGAGGAGAAGGAGGACGAGGGGAGGAGGACGAGGAGGAGGAGGAGGAGGAGGAGGGAGGAGGGAGGAGGGAGAAGGGAGGAGAGGGGAGGGAGGAGGAAGGAGGAGGAGGGAGGAGGATAGGGAGGAGA